TGTTTCTCGTTTATGGGTCACAGTTGCTGTTATTTCACATGTCTAGTAATTCATTGGATAGTGGACATTTTAAACTTTCTATTATTGAGTGATAGATTTTAGATTTTATTTTCTCCCTTTACAGTGTTGGACTTTGGAATGAAGTTAAGTTACTTGCATATCAGTTTGTTCCTTTTGAGGATTAAAAAAATTTAAGGTAGATTATGAGGAGCTGTTTTTCTAGAGCTAGATTATTAGCTCTACTACTAATGGCACTACCCATGAATGCCCTGTGAGTTGAAAGCTCCCTGGTGACGGTGTAACTGACCTTGTGGAGTTTTACCTTGCACATGTGTGAGTAGTGTTCAGCGATGGACTTGACTAGAACCTGGGATAGATTATTGTAGAGTTCTTTCTCCGTGTAGCTCCTTCCTCCGTGGTGTCCTGCCCTGTAAACCCTCTCCCCTTGAATCCTCCCCGGACGCGGTGGGGTTGTCGGGCCGTGCCTGTGTTCTCCTTCCTCGGGCCTGTGAAGCTTCGCGTGAGGGCGAAGAACTGGGTTTGCGACGGCGCTCACTTCATTTGTCCGTCTTCCCCCAACGCTGTCAGCACCGAGCTGCCCAGTGTCCAGTATCCGGATGATTGTTTCGTTTTACCCCCTGCCCCTGCCCCCAGCTTTCTGAGTGTGTACAGTAAGGAGGGACTTGGCTTGCTGTTCAAGCCAAGTGTAGAGTGAGCTGTGTTTCACTTTGTTCATTGGCCCATCCGAGGCTCCTCTTTTGCTTCATTTTCCTTTGTTATATTTCTTTGCAAACCGCACATTTTTTCTTGTTGTACATGTTCACATCTCTGAAAAATGGGTTTTGTGCTATAGATGGTGGAACTGAGAAACATCCCGTTGGCCAACTGGCTGTTGCGTGCAGGGGCCGTCGGTTCTTGCAGGTGCGTGGCGGTACAAAATGCCGGCCTCAGAATTTTCTCACGGGCCTCAGCAGATTGGGAGAAAGTCTCGGGGACAATTGTGAATTACCGTCCTATTCCGTCCTATTCGTGAATTACATGTTTGCCTGTGGGAATGAGGGGTGGAGGAGGTTCTGGGATGTGGTGCATTAGACATGCCTAGCCACATTCCTGACGCTGGAGTCACGTGTAGTTTACCTGGCTGAACGTAAACCTGGCCTAAGATCCCAGTACCTGTGGCTTCAGCTCTGTTATATAAAATGCAGCCTCACCAAAGCAATGGAATATATTGTCTGGGGAAATCTGGGTATCAGTGAGGTAGTCAAATACTGATTCAGAAGAGTTAGACACCGAAGAATGAGAGTTTGTAGGAAAACCCTAATTATTGTGTGTGTGTGATGTATTTTTTCCTCACAAGCGTGATATATGATAAAACTTGCTTAAGTCTAAGAGAAGCGTAGTGTTCTTTTTAGAGAAGTATAAAGTAAAATTCCTAACTGCTAAGAAAGTGTCATTAATTACTAGAGTTGTTTCTTTTTAGTAATGTATAATGGTACCTCTTATTATTGATGACATTTTAGGTCCTACTGAATGAGGGATTGTATATCCCCCACCCCCCCTTTGCTTTCATTCTCCTGACTTCTTTTTGTTGTCTGGTCTGTTGTGATTTATGTATGTCTTTGTATGTAGCCCTGTGAAATAATGTATTTTTTGTTTTAAATGTTTATAAATCGCGTCATGCTACAGATCTCATTTTCATTTGTTTTCATTTGACAAAACATTTAGCTTTGTTGCTCTATGTAGCTTTGGTTCATTCCTTATGACTGTTGTATGGTGTCTTATGGTGTACATCTTAAGTACATTTTACTTCTCCGTTCTAGTAATTGTGAGCATAAGGCTGCTTCTAATTCTCCATCACAGTTAAGTGCCCGCCTTGATGCAAGTACCCTCATACAGACTCCATGGACAGATGTGGGTGTTTTTCTTGGCTGGATACATACACATACCCAGCCAGCCACGTGTATACACATACATACACATCTATGTATAAATCTACATTTATACACACGCACTTACATATACATATACACATACATATACTCAGGGATGTGTAGATGTATACATCTGTTTAAATGTCATCTTAAGAGTGGGATTACGTGGTCACGAGGGTATGAATCTTCAGTGCAGGTCGGATGCTAGAATGTGTCTGCATGAAGACTCTTGTTTTTCCATAAGCTGCCTAACATACTTGGCATTCCAGTTTCCTAATAATTGAATGGGGATAGAGTGTATTTTATTGTTTTAATTTGCATTTCTGATTGCTAGTGAGTTGGAACATCTTTGCATATACTTGAAAGGCAGTGTGTGTCCCCTTTTATGAATTAAGAATTCACTTTCTTTTTTTCCTGTTGAATTTTCTGCCTTGCATGTTGACGTACAAGAATTGATTGTATTGGAGACATGATCAGGCCCAGCAGGGGTTTAATTTATTTGTGCTTTTTTTCCTTCCTTTTGATGGTTCTGTAAATATTTTGGGAGGTCTATATGAAGTTTTGGGGGTTGTATAAAATATCAGGTATCTGTATAATGGTCTGGCTGCCTGTTTATATAATCACTATGCGTGTGTGTGCTTAGGTCTGGTAGCTCGTGCTATTGCCTGGCGGAGTGGAATGGGGACTAAGTGGATTATTTACAGTGTTCCCAGAACCTACTCTGGGTACATTCTTGCACTTCACAATTGTGAAGAGTTTGTGGTCTTTTGTTAGGATCTTTTCTATATATTCCTTTTTTTTTTTTTCCTATTTCAGCCCTTTCTTGGGAAGGGAGGGGGTGGTAGTTCAGTCCCTATCTTCTTTTATCTCATCTACTTATTTCTGATAGGAATTCCTTGAAGTTTTTAGCTTGGGTATCCAAGAGGGATACCACTTTTCCCACTTTCTGTTACTGGTACAGATTTGTCCATATTCTCTTTTTGTGTATTCTACCATTTATTGATTATTGTGTACCAGGAATTATACTGAGTACTTAGTCTGTTTTATTAGTCAGTCCAGTGATTCTGTCATGTAGATAGCATCCCAGTTACACGAGTGAAAACAGGGTTAGAAAGATTAAACTATTTGCCCAAGGTCCGAAAACTAGAGGTGGCGTAGTTTTGCCTAGCCTGAATTTAACCTAGGGTTAAAATAACTTTGGGGTAATTTCCGTTGAATTCCATTTTTGCTGGAAGTCTTGACTGTTAATGTGGTTAAAAAGCTAGCTTTTGGTGAAAAGAGTGGAAATTTTCTTTAATTCATGTTACCCAAAAGCCATTTCTTAAAAGCTGCTGTTCTAAACCGACCTGGTAGTGATCTCCGGTGCTGCATACGACTTCCAGTGCTCGTGCACACAGCGCTTGGCTGTGACACCGACTGTGGTCCTCTGCTTTCTTTTTTCCACTCAGTGTTGTCGTAAACCAAAACATGCTCTAAGAAAGTAAAGTTCTTGAAAAAGGTGGTGGGGGAAGTAAACGTTGCCTCCACACTGGGTTTTGAGCCTTAAGGTACCTGTGCTGAGCACTGAGCATCTACCTGTGAGATGAGATCTGCACCCCAGGTCTGCTCTGGGCATCCTCCAGCGCAACCTGGGCTGGCAGAGCAGCCAGCACGCCCGTCCGCACGCTGCCAAGAGGGTCCCTAACCCGGCTTCCTTAACGCCATCACGTGAGAGCAAGACGAACTCTGTGTCAGAAGAAAAATAGTGAATCCCCACCCTGCAGAGGTTCCGCCTCCTCCTCCTCCTGGCAGAATGGAGCTGACGGAGCCGGTGGGGGCGGAGCCAGCACACTGCGTGCGCGCGGTTGAGCTCTGTCTGCGCTTGTGCAGCATTGAGAGTTGGTAACTTTTTATAGCCTCACATTCTAAGACAGTGTTTATGCCCGGGGAATTTTGCTTGAAGGAGTGGGTGAGTTTTCATTTACGGTTTGTCATGTATCATTAGTAAGAATTGGCTTTGTGTGCCAGTGCCAGAAACTTGGTAAATACTGGGTTAAGCAAGTGAGGGTTCACTTCCGCCCCCCCCAGCCCCGCATGCTGTGAAGCCCAGAGGTGGGCAGTCCGGGGCTGATGCGGCTGCTCCTGGATGTCCCGAGAGACCAGGGCCCTGTCTTCACGGCGTTCGTCTTCAGGGTCCCAGGGTGGCTGTTGTATGTCTCAACACTTCACCCAAGTTTTTGGAAGGAAGAGGAGGGAAGGATAAAGGGAAATCTTTCTTGCATAGGCTTTTGCACTTTTCTGGTAGACAGTGTCTTTTCAGAGATTGGCAGCCACCCTTCATTGGCCAGAGCTGTCACAGTTGGGAGGACTCGGTGTTTCACTAGTAGTGTCTGGAGGTGATATACTTGGAGCTGAGAATGTGGACCTAAGTGTGACCATTTCTGCACCTCAATTTTCTCATCTATAAAATGGGCCTAGTAATAGGTACCTACCAACACTGCGTTGCTGTAAAGGTTAAGTGGATTAATATGTGTCATTGTTTTAATGGATACAGTTTGTGCTATTTTAAATGTTAGCCATCATTACCACAGTCATTACCTGGAAGAGTTACTGAAATTGGAATTGTAAATTTATCCCTCAGGGAATTCATTTTCTTTGAGATGGAAAAATAAAAGAGCATTTGAGTTAGTGGGTCTGGGTAGGTGTTTTTGAGTGCAGGGATGATTGGGAAAGCTGACAGAACTTTCTTAAGGACTCTTGTGATTGCATCGCGCCGTTCACAGGTGTGGGACCGTTTCAGTGCGCTCGTTCGGTGCGTGTAGAGCTTGATGGCCCTCAGGGCCGTCCTGAACAGATTGTCGCTTCACCTGCAATGCCCTGACGTTCATTCAGCCCAACAGAAACTTCATCTTTCTTTCTTTCTCTTTTGTTTTGTAAGTAGGTATGGAGAAATTTCATCTTCCATTGATAGGATATTTGAAGACTTAGCTGTGTACGAAAATATGATTTTGTTGCATTGTTTCTGGCCTTTCCCAATTTGAAATCACAGTTTTTTTTAATGTGTCAATTATTTTTCTGTTTGCTTTTTAGCCCTATCTGCTTTGATATGATCGAGGAAGCATACATGACGAAATGCGGCCACAGCTTTTGGTAAGGTGATTTTATTTAGCGCGGTTGTCTTTTGGCAGAATTAAACTTGTGTGTAAATGTAGTCCCTGAGAAGTTATGTTTTTTGAAACTAATTTTGGTTATCTTGTAATTATGTTATTTCTTTGACTGATACATCTTTGCAGGTTCTGTGGCTTGAGGCAGTTACCATATGGTTGGTGCATAATATGTGTGAAGTACTTAGATTTACCACGGGCCTTACAGATGGATTTTAAAACTCCTGGGTTTATTAATCATTGAAGAGCTTTGACTGCTGATTTAGAAAGTGGGGAGTGGGTGGGTGCTGGGTAATCAGGGCGAAGCACCACCCAGGAAGGACAGTGGGAAAAGACACAGAGGATTGAGGAGTTCTTTGTTTTCTTCTTTAAGGTGTTGTTCAGTCTTACCTCTAGATTGTGTGTCGCATTAACGTGCATATATTTAAAAAGTGATAGTTGCGGTAAAATACACATAATAAAATGTACCATCGTAACCATTTTTAAGTTGATGAATGCTACGTACGTGTACATTGTCGTTCAGTCCGTCTCCAGAACTTTTTCTTGCAACGTGGAAACTCTGCCCAGCCTCTGTCAGTCACTGTTTAACTTTGTGTCCCTGTCAATGTGACCGTTCTAGACCTCGTGTGAGTGGAATCAAACAGTGTTGACTGGCTCAGTTTCCTCGGCACAGCGCCCTCCAGTCCCACCCGTTTTGTAGCCGTGTCGGCATTCCCCGCCGAGGCTGGATGACGCTCCACTGCGTGTGTGCATTAGTCTCGTCTGTTCATCTGTCAGTGGGCACTGCGGTTGCTTTCACCCCTTAATTACTATTAATAATGCCGCTTTGAGCATCGGTCTGTGACTGTCTCCTTGGGACTCTGCTTTCAGTTCTTTGGGGCATACACCCAGAAGCGGAATTGCTGCATCGCAGGTAGTACTGCGAGTAATTCTTTTGAGGAACAGCCACAGCGTTTCCCTTAGCGGCACCATTTTACAGTCCCACCAACAGCGCACGGGGTTCTGATTTCCCACCCCCTCGCCAGTACTCGTTTTTTTAGATAGCAGCCATCTTAATGGATATGTTATCTGTGTGTGTTTAATTCCTTGTGTTTGTTTTTTGTTTGCGGGTATATTCTACTTACAGTCAATCATCTCCATAAATTATATACACTGTTTGTATATTATTTTGGCCTCAATGTTTCTGTTGTGTTCTAATATAACTCATCATTCTAATTCATGTTGAAGTTAGACCCGTAATTTTATACTGGAGTCGAATGTATTATCTGGTAGGTTATTATCCGTTAGTCAGGAAGAGTAGTGGGTGTCCTCGCCAGTCTGCAGTCCCTTAGTTTGATCTCGACCACAAGACCAAGACCTCATTGATAGGTATCCTCTTCATATTGGTATATCGATCTGCCAGTCATTTAAAAAGAAGCTTAAAATAAAAATTGCTTTCTTAGCTGACATTATCATGGTTCGGGAATCACTTTCTGTTCTGTATTGTCATTGAAATTCTGGTCCTGTGCCTCTCGCTTCCAGGCTGATGTGTCACGTACCATCCTGGTCTTTTCGGGCTGGTGGTGCAGCAGCAGTGTTCTCCCGGTCCGTGGATTGATCCAGCACCTTAGCATTCCGTGGGAAACGGCGTACTTTTCTTAGAGACTTTGGGTTTTGATCATTCTAGAAAATTAGGTGATTTTGCTAGAGCAGGCTTTTTCCACCTCGGTGGCGTTGGTGTGCTAGGCCAGATACGTAATTCTTTGTTGTGGGTGAGCACCCTGCGCGTTGTATATTGTCTGGCAGTATCTCTGGCCTCTGCCCACTAGCAGCCCCTACCCCCCGCAGTTACGGCAACCAAAAAGTGTCTCCAGACATTGCCAGGTACACCTCAGGGGCCGGAATTGCCCTCCGCTGAGCACTGCTGACACAGGGCTACAAGAGCAGGCGCTTGCGGTGGTGGACCAGGGTTCTAGCTCTGGCTTTAAAACTCACCTCAACCTTGGTCGGTTCACTCGGCCTGCCTCTGCTGCCTCTGCTGCCTCTGCTGCCGCTGCTGCTGCTGCTGCCTCTGCCTCTGCTGCTGCTGCTGCTGCCTCTGCCTCTGCTGCTGCTGCTCACACCCCTCCCCCATCCCCTTCCTGCTTCTCCTCTTCCTCTTCCACAGCCTGGAATGAAGGTGTTCAAGGGTAGAACAGACTAAGGGAGGTTTAATTTTTTTCTGACTGCCCTCCTCTAACTTCTGTATTCACGGTGGCATTTGGAAAAGGTGCTGAAGAGTCCGCTGAATCAGTTCAGTCATTTGCTTGGTTATGTTGTGAAGTGTTATCGATTACCCATGGACTTTATAACTAGACAGGCCTGGATTTTTCCGTGAGTCCCATGATCTTCATGGTGTGCCTGTGTCATTATTGGAAAGCTTCATTTTTTTTTTTGCAATCACAGTTTATACTCAATATTCTTTTACATTAGTCTCAGGTGAACAGCATAGTGATTAGACTTTTATATAATCTTCCAAGTGATCTCCCTCACCCACAAGTCTAGTCATTGGTTTCTTAAATGCCTTTTTTCCCCTTCAAATAAAAATAAGCATAATCCTTGTTGCAATTCAAGTTACTATGTTACACCCTGATGTGAATGTGTTAAAGTACCCACCAGAGAGCAGGTTTTGGTTGGATAGAGACCATAATTTGGCAGGAGCTAATAAACCTGGAGGTTGGTGCTCTCATTGTCAGGCTTGCAAAACTGAAACATTTTTGCACTTTGTTTAAAACAGAAGCTCATAATTATTTACCCTATCCTAACATGTAAGGCCTGTGGAACTTCAGTCACTAACAGAAGTCTATTGTATCAGCTGTTGACTAATTTGAATCCTGGCTGGTAATCGAGCAAAGCAGTACACCACTTCAAGGCTCCATCCAAATTATTAACACTAAATTAAATTGGACTACATCAACTGTTTATCTCACATCCGCTTATAAACGGTAACTCTTTCCTAGTAACAGGTTGGCAACGATATACCAGGAACTTCTTTCTCTTTATTCATTCCCGCAAGACAGTGAACCTACGATCAGCTGTAGCCTAACTGAAACGCAATAAAGAATCTGGCTTCTTTGTGATACAGAGTTAAGGATTGTTCTTTATCCTTGCCCTGTGGCTGCCTCCAGCTTGTCCCCTGCACCTTGCTTCTCAGACCTCTTGTCTACCAAGTGCTCCTGTACGGTTTTGCTTCATAACAAACTAATAATGGTTCACAGGTTCCCTCAGTGTCGTCATCTTACAGCGTGTCTTCTTCGACGGAGCCTGGGTGCCCGCTGCCTTTTGGGACTTTTGACTAATTCATCATCTTACACCTCTGTTAGTTTTTCCTTATACCTGGTCATTATGTATGACCACTGTTTCTGATTCGTCTTTGTTGTTCTTGTTATAGCCCCTTGTTCTAGAACTTTCCGATTATTTATAATTTTCCCTATCGACTTATCCCTGTTTACATAGAGAGAAAAAACCACTCATATTTTGCAGGTAGACATACTTGAAATGGCAACCATATGCAGCTATAGAGAATAGTCGTTCTTTATTGTCAGATACACACTTACCGGAAGACTCCGGCACCCATATATGTCAGCGCAGTGTGGTACTGAGTGATTTTTTAAGAGTTGCAGTATAAGCAGCTATTGAAAATTTCTCAGGTTTGATTGAATGATATGTAAAAAGTTTTTTATTATAAGATAATACACAATTGTGAAAAGCTTAACGTTGCAGAAATATGTAAGGTAAGAAAGGAAAAATTTCTCATAATCACATTTCTTCAGGTGTAACTATTAACAGTTACTGATTATTTTTCACGGCTGTACTTACATATTGCAGTATGATTTTTATTGGCTATATATGGTACGTTGCATTAGATTGATATTTACAAATTTGTTTAGCCAGTGTCGTAGTGTTTTGATTACTTCTAATTCATTTTGTTCTTTACAGATAAGCTTGAGTTGAACACCTTTCTGTATATGTATCTCCTACTTCCTTAGGGTAAATTCCTAGAAGTCAGGTCACTGCACCGAGGGGGAGGCACAGCCTTAAGGATTTTCGTGTGACTTGCCTTCTAAAGAGTGGCAGTTACGGGTCCTGCAGCAATACATGAGACGTTCCCATCCACATCACGTTTTCATTCTAATTGGTCAAAGTTAATATGTAATCTACATCAGGTTTTTGTCCTGGTGAGATGATGATTTTCTCATGCTTATTGACTAATTTTTGTTGTATTGATTTTTCTGTTTTTCTCTTATTTGCATTTTTTTGAATGAGCTCTTTTCGTATTAAGGACAGCAGCACTCCGAGAACACAAATTGTGTTTGCTTAATCAAACCATAGGCATTTGCTTTCCATGGTGTTGTCATGTACTATTTCAACTACATAATCATACAAGTTAGTGCAACATTTTAAATGTCAAATTCAGTAGATTTGTTATTTGAGCTTATTTCTCAATAAATTTTGTATGCTATTGTGTAATTAAATGCCCTGTGTATCTTTATGATGTAAAAATTGGAGCTGAAGTAAATTTGATCACTGATTACTTACGTTGAAATGAGGAATAGAAGACTGGTGGGCGTTCCTTTGTGACCAGCGTGTTAACCCATCACTGCTAATCAGACCTGTGTTTTCCCCCCTGCTGATAGCTACAAGTGCATTCACCAGAGTTTGGAGGACAACAATAGATGTCCCAAGTGTAACTACGTTGTGGATAACATTGACCATCTGTATCCTAATTTCTTGGGTGAGTCTTTTGAATTGATTTTTTTTATTTTTTAAAGTATTCTTTCCCCAAAAGTGTATGCAAGCACTAATTTATCCAGAAACTCTAGCTTATAGTAAGCAAGTCTCTCTTTCCTACTCACCAGGTGCTTTCCGGAATCTTACCTGGGTTGTGACAGATTCCATACCATACCATATTATTTTTAAGTTTCTAAAAACAAAATTTGATTGACACAACTCTTAGATACTGTGCCGATGGCTGGACAGAGTGCGAGCTAACAGAGAATGCCCGATGTCCAGAAGACCTGCCTCTTTACATCGTGTCGTGCGTTCCTGCTGTTCCGGCTGTAGGGGCAGAGGTCAGGAGCAGTGGAATGAAGGGCTAATGGAGAGGGGGCGAGGGCAAAAAAACTCCCTTTGGGGTATGAGTATTTGTGCATAGGGGCAGAGAGCCCGTGATCTGGGAGGCAACTGAAAAGTGAGAACTGGGGCAGGAAGACAGGGGCGCAGGACTTTGGAGAGAGCAGTGGTAGGTGGCTGGAGAAGAGAGAGAAAATGGGGAACTCAGGGTGAATGGTAAACGGTTGAGAATAATATCCGGTCAGAGACCAATTTTGCATCTCTAAATATTCTTTCCACATGCTAAAAAGCCTAAGATACTATGGGAAATCTTTAGATTGAGTTTTTAGGAATGGAGTTAATTGTCCAAAAAATAATTTTCAGATGTGGGTAGGCATGAAGTAGGGTACTGTTGGGTATGCCCATCGAAAAGGTTAATTCTTCCTTCTGAAGATGGGTGTGCCCAGAGTTGGGGTGTGACGTTGACCTGTGTGCTAGGTTCCGACCGGCCAGTGCTTCAGTCGCTGCTCGACTTCCCTCAGCTCAGCTGCTGGTTTAGAATAAATCACGAGTTTGGACCTTTTCAGCTGTGCCTCTCGTTTTTACCTCTGCTTTAAAACTGCATGGGCTGCTGTCTTTTTTTTTGCCTCTTTCATTTTTCACTGCAATTCAGTATCTTTTCACGAAGGACAATCACTGGATGATTGCACAGCAGTAAGGAATCTGGGAGGAAATATTATAAAGATTCTGTGTTGGAATACTGTGTTCTTCTAGGTGGGCAGTCTTATGACAAAATGGGAGAGGGAGCTTGTTAAATGCGGAGATTCCGAGAGTCTGAGATTCTGCAGGCCGGACTTCACGGCCGATCCAGATGAAAGGGAGACGAAGCCCTGCCGAGCAGAACCCTGCGGTCCTGACCTTGGACTGAGGCCGCCCTGTGGGCCCCGGAATCACTTTTCTGTCGTTTGCATAACTTTGTGGAATCTAAATATCATAGCAATTTGATACTTATCACTGATTTGAAAATAGACACTTTTGATTAACAATGGGAAGTTTCACTTACTACTTTGCTATTTGAATTAAACAGAATTCTACCTAAATTGCATATCATCCATATAAGTTTATCCTTTATATTGTATTTTCATGCTTGAAATTCATATTGATCTCCCTGTAATAGTTTTCTGTAACAGAAATGTCTTTAAATAAAAATAAATTATAGACCTAGAAGTTTCTTTTGAACATAATTTTCTATTAAGTATTAAAACCTAAATATTTGGAGGGTTGTACCATGGGGTTAGTACCAGGCCCGTTGCTGGTTATTATTAGGACAAGGATTCTGTTTCATTTGTATTCTTTTTAAGATTTATTTACTTATGATCATCATAGTTTTTTAAATTGACATGTAACAAATTTATTATTTTAGATTTAAGATTTTTTTCCTTTTTATTTTTGGAAGTATTAGTTTTGAGAAACTTTTACATAAGTAAGGTGATGGAGATTGAAGGAATTTTGTTATAGCAATGTTACTGTTCTTTGACTACCTTCTGAATTATATGTATTAAAACACAACAGCACTTAATTGATTTATTGTCAAAGAATTTGTTAATGTCCTATTAGTTAACAAGTCAAATTCTTTTTTGATTTTAATGAAAGCAAAGAATTGGAAGCCAAACACAAAAAGCATTTGGGTTTTTGGTCATTAGAGTCATGCACTTTTTTGTCAAGACAGATAATTTGATTTTTCCTTTCCTGTCGTAAGTACTACGCTACATTTCCTCCTCCTCAGGACACGCCCCCTTTGCTCTGCCTTCCACAGCTTTCTCTTTTGTTCCCTGCACTTCTTCTCTCCCACCTCCCCAGTGGCACACGCTCCCCCTTCTCCTTTTCATCCTCCTTGACCTTGAGCGCACTCAGAGCTCGCGCTCCTGGTCACTGGAAGGCCTGTGGGGGGTGAGGGGAGCTGTGGGGGTGTCTCCCTCACCCTCCCACTTCTGCGCTTCTGCATTTGTGCTCCTCCACTTCTGCCAGAGCTCGCTCTCCGTCTCCCTGTTCCTTCCTAGTGCAGGCTCCCTCTTCGCTGCCTCTTCTCTCTTCTCTCTCTCTCTCTCTCTCTCTTTCTCTAAAGCAGGGGTGTCAGACTCGTTTTCACCAGGGGCCCCGTCAGCCTTGCTAATGTAATTTTAGTACTGTATAAATGTAACTGCTCCTTAACTGGGGGGCAAGGAGGTCGGCGCTGCCGCCATGCTGGGAGTATACAACAAGGTGGGGGGCCGGATTGGGCCTGCGGGCCTTGTGTTCGCCACCTGTGCTCTAAAGGAAACGGCTACTCAGTGCCAGACAGCTCGGTCCTGCTGCAGCCTCGGGCTGGTGGCTGTGCCTCACTGTCGGCTGCGCTCTGCTCCATCAGGACTTCTTTGCTGCTTTTTGTTGTTGTTGTTGCTGTTGTTGTTGTTGTTGTTTTTAAGTATTCCTTCACCTTACTACCACCAGACACCACTGTCCTAAGAGCTTTCTGTGTGTTGACTCGTTTAATTCTCAGTTCTTTAAGATAGCCACTGCTGTCACCTTCATTCCCCAGGTGAGGAAACTAAGGCACAAAGAGGTTACGGAACTCATCAAGGTTCACAGCCAGTAAGTGGCCGAGCTGGGATTTGCTCCTAAGCAGTCTTGCCCCAGTGTCTCTGTTTTCACTGCACCATCCTGCGCCTAAAGAGACAGCTGCTGGAAGGGAAAATTTAGCAGTAGAAACACAGTGTTCGCAGAACTCTGGCTGTTGTAAAAATCTGTAGACTTATAATTATGGATATAGACTGCCCTTCAGTTTCAGTGGTGTGTGAGATTTCTTGGTAAAATGCAATGTGAAATATTAAGTTACTTAAATCACATTTTTTATATAAAAATGGTTAATCCTGTAACTGAAACATTGAACTCTTACTCACATACTCTAGTTTGTTCCCAATACGGCATTATTTCAAGTTCTCTTCTTCATCTTCCCCGGATTACAATGATAACTTTGCGTGTGAGATACATCGCAGGCTGTTCAGAATCAGGGTTCAATCCGTCTACATTTCTTATTGGCCCCTGTTAATCATTAACAGGATCACTGTGACCCTGTGTCACAGCCATATTGATTTTAAATCATTCTGTCTCCTCCTGTTTTGTGACTTTGCCCCTCGCCCCCTCCCCCCACCCCCCTCTGAACCCTTGTCCACGTCCTTTTCTGCTCAGTGAACCTCGGCGGGCCCGTATGGGCCCGATTCCAGTGTCACCTTCTCTTCGGAGCCTGTTCCGTACATTTTGATTGCTCCCCCTCCTGTGTTCTTTGTAAATCTGTGTCAATAGCAATAGCACTGATTTTTCACATTATATTACAACCTCTGCATCATACATACTTGTCTTCCTACTCTGAGCCGCTTGAGTCCGGGATTAAGTCTTACTTAGATTTAGTCCTACTCGTCTGTGAAGATTGGACCTCCAGTGTGGGCTTGGTACCTGTCTGGTTTGTTAAAAAAAAAAATATTTACCGTTGGGTTGTGGTTTAGTGAGAATTACTGGATAGTTGGGCTTGTATCCCAGCTCTCTCTTGTGCTGTATGTCGCCACGGTCAAGGTCCTTATGCTGTCCTACTCCCTTGGCTCTAAATGGGAAGACCAGCCAGTGAGATGTCTGTAAATTAAGGTGCCCACCTAGCCTAGCGCTAGTTTCCCTTCATCGTTTTTAATCAGCCGGCTGTTAAAGACAGAACAATCTGATTAAAAGTGGCTTCAACATTAAGGAAAACATACCGATTCCTGTAAAAAGAATTGTTAGAACTAATTCTGTGTTTCAGTGATCCTACCAAGTTTTTTTCATCTTTTTGTCCCTCCATCCCCAACGTTATGAGTTGGTCTTTGGCGAGATTTCCTCCAGACTGCAAGACGGCTCTGAGCCTCTGAGCAGTTCCAGATCCCGTCCGCTAGTGCGTGCAGGGAGGGGCTTGGTCTTCTCTGCTCTTTCCCAAAGACGGCATAGCCCTCCCTCACTGGTCAAAGCCTGGTCACACACCTGACCCAGTGTCAATCGCTGGCAAGAGGGTAATGACTACACGGGTTTAGCTTAGTCGAGGATCATTCATACTCTGGGTCTGGGGGGAGGACTGGCCTCTGAAATGATGTGGTAATCTGACTCTTGGAAGCAATCATGCTATTATTTTTTTTTTTAAAGTGGGATGGTTTTTGGATAGGTAACTGACATTGCCTGCCATGATATTTACAGAAGAGTCAAACAAACAAAAAATATATATATATATATAAATTTTTAGTGCCTACCTTGTAGAATCAACCAGTTACCATGGAAAACAGAGCCAGCCTCACACGTGAAGGGTTGCCTCTCCAAGTGCCAGTAGTGTCCTCGCTACTACTGGCATAGCGAGTGTGTCCATATTCTAAAGAGTTTTTTATTTATTTCGAGAGAGAGGGAGAGGAACATCGATGTGTGAGAGAAACATCGATTGGTTGCCTCTTGTACGAGCCTCTGCCCAGGGACCAAACCTGCAACCCAGGCATGTGCCCTGACTGGGAGTCGAACTGGCGACCTTTTGTTCTCTGGGGTGACGCCTGACTCACTGAGCCACACCAGTCAGGGCTAGACGGTATCTTTAACAGCATATAAATTATGTGTGTTTCTTGTTTGCTTTTATTTTCAGTGAATGAGCTCATTCTCAAACAGAAGCAAAGGTTTGAGGAGAAGAGGTTCAAATTGGACCACTCAGTGAGTAGCACCGTATGTTTCAGTTCTTATTACTATTTTTGATACATTTCAATTCATTGTTTTTATTGTACAATATTAGATATTCAAGTTTAGTGTGTTGTTGGTTTTTGTTCAAGGAGCTTTGTTTGAGATTGTTTTGTTCTATGAAGAACTTTCTCAACTGCACTGTTTAAAATTTACCCTGGTGGTAATCTTGTGGAAGATCTGGGGGGTCACACGGACAGCTGGCTTGTGGTACACGCCACTGGGGGGGTCACACGGACAGCTGGCTTGTGGTACACGCCACTGGGGGGGTCACACGGACAGCTGGCTTGTGGTACACGCCACTTGAAGGGCATGGCAGGGGGAAACTGTGTGTGGGGATTGGAAAAACTGTTGAGAGATTCTTCACTTCAAGGATTAGCCCTAAATTATTGAGGCAGGCGAGCTTAAATTAATACCTTACAACCAGAGACAAAGCTGAAAATATGGCTAGAACAGTAATTAAAATCCCAGCACTTATTTCTAAGGGAATTACACCTTTAGACGTGCTGACTTAACATTTGTCTTGAATATGCCTTTCATGTCTGCTGTCTAAATCCACTTAAGGGGAAATGGTGTTTAAGTGACGGGGAAGCCACTAGCCGGGGCGGAGGAGGCTGGAACACTATAGTTTACTTGTGATATCTCTGTAATAAACATATTGGGAAGCAGCAGTCAAACATTATTTTAGGCTTTCCAAGACAATCTCTTAGAAAGTTACTGCGTTTCTTCTTTTCTTCATTTTTAGAATGGCCACAGGTGGCAAATCTTTCAGGATTTACTGGGAACTGACCAAGATAACCTTGACTTGGCCAATGTCAACCTCATGTTGGAGCTCCTAGTGCAGAAGAAGAAGCAATTGGAAGCAGTAAGTGGCGGCTGAACTTGAACAAAATTGATGTAGATGAATTGTTGCATCAGTTCATTTGTTGCATTGAAAAAGACCTAGAAGTATTCATAGATAATAGGGTAGTGTTGTCTGACCTGCCCACTTTTATTCAGCAAGAAAGATATTCGAGCTGTTACTTCTAACAGGTTTCCCTTTTTCCAATAAAAGAAAGAGCAGATAGAGCAGATTGCTTACAATATAACTTAGAGCAGCCAGTTTGTATTAACAAAAGCTGAGTGTTAAGAAAGATCATGAGAAAGTACAAGATATTGGTCATTTTTCTTCTGATGAATATCTCCTTTGCCATGTTGTCCCCTTTTTACTTACAAGATTTGAAAAAGAAAATAGAGGTTTTTTTAAATCTGCATAAAGCCTTCCCAGCAGGTGCCCGCCGGCAGCAAGGTAGCCTGTGGCTTAGCTAGCAGCATTTACAGAGATGGGAACTGGAACTGAATATATCCTGTCTGGTGTGATAAAATGTCAGTAAATATGAAATTGCATTTATTTCATGTAAAAATGTAAAATGTGAATTTGCACGTAATAGGAATTGAATATGATCCATTGTAAGCAACGCACACCTTAGCATAAGCAAATACCCACCCTGACTTAGCTTAAATAAGAAGGGGCTATTTACTGATAGGACACGGGAGTGAGTAGTTCACACACATAGGAAGGAAGAGCTTAGCAACCAAACGTGGGGAAGATTGGAACACGGCTTCTCTGGGCGCTCAGGGAAATGCGATCCGGCGCTTCGGTGCTGTTGAGAGTTGGCTTTCGGGCCTCTCGGGGGAGCGTGGGTGCTTCTTCGGGACAGGTGTGGTTCTTTCCCTCAGATTTCTACCCCATGGGGGTGATAGGTTCACTTGTAGTTCCTCATTTACATTTATGTTTTCTGATAGAAGAAGAAAAAGGGCTTTCCCTTCCGACTTCAGTTTGAGAGATTCTGTGGGTAGATTCTGATTAAATTGCTTGACCTCGATCCCACCTAATAGAATGGGATACGTCAGTGGGAGAAAGGAGCAGGTGAGGTTGAGCCTCCCAAACTGTGTCTTTTGAGGGGCAGAGGATGGCTAATTTCTTATTTACTTATTTCAGTTTTATTGAGATATAGTTGACACAGCACTGTATAATTTTAAGGTTTGTTTACTTTGTGATGAGAAGTTTTGGGATGTACTTCTAGCACCTTTCAAATACAGGAGTACTAACTGCAGTTGTTGTGTTGTACATGATTGTATCCTCGGAACTTAATCTACCTTCTAACTGGAAGTTTCTGTCTTTGGGCCATCTTCATCCAGTCCCCTGGCCCCTGCTTTTGGCAGCCACCCATCTGATGCTTTTGCTATGAGCTCCTTTTTTGTTTTTTCCAGATTCCACAAATACTGAATAAGTGAGCTCATACAGCACTGGTCTTTCTCTGTCTTATTTCACTCAACATAACGTCCTCGAGGTCCATCCGCGTTGTTGCAGGTGACAAGACCGCCGTTTTTATGGCTGAGTGGCGTAGTGTTTCACGGCGTGTGGGGGGTGTGTGCGAACAGGCACCGCACCTCCATTCACGTGTCGGTGGGCGCTCGTGCGGTTTTCCTGTCCCGGGCATCGTAAACGACACTGCGGTGAACGTGGGGCGCACATCTTTCCGGCACGGAGGTTCCGTTTCCTTTGGACATACACTCAGAAGTGGGATGGCTGGATCACACGGTCGCTGTGGTCTTAATTTTTTGAGAAACCTCCACGCTGTCCTCCACAGCAGCCGCACCAGTTTACATTTCTACCAACCACGCCCAAGTGTTTCCTTTTCTCCGTGTCCTCAGCATGTGTTATTTCTTGTCATTTTGATGACAGCCATTTTAACAGATGTGAAGTGACACCTTGTTGTGGTTTTGATTGAAGACACTTCTTACTGTGGTTTTGATCTGCGTTTCCCCAGTGATTTGTGATGTCGAGCACCCTTTCACGTACCTGTTGGTCATTCGAGCATCTTCTTGGCAAAAATGCCTGTTCGGGTCCTCTGCCCATCTTTAAATTGGATTATTGTTTTTGCTGTTGAGCTCTTCGGTCTTCATGTGTTTCAGATATATGACATACGTTTATGTATTAACCCTGATGAGACACAGGGTCTGCACACGTGTTCTCCCGCCCTGCAGGCTGCCCTCTTCGTTTCGTTGATCCGTCTTCTCGCTGTGCAGACGCTTTTCAGTTTTATGTAGTCCCACTTGTTTATTTTTTATTTTGTTGTTTATGCTTTAGGTATCATATTCTAAAAATGGTTGCCAACACTCTCCTGTAGTTTTAAACGAAGTTTTCATTAGCATCTGCTATGTGCTCGAAGTTGTGTTGAGGGCTGTGGAAAAGACAGGATTCTACTGTGGGGGGGCAGCGTGCAGGGTGAGGACATAAACTAAATCAAGTAAATATTTTCACAGAGATAAGTGATATAAAGAGACTCGCTTACAGATTGAACATACACAGTCACCATGCTCCCGAGACGATGGCAGCAGTATCCTGTAAGCCCAGGGGCAGATGGATGAGAAGTAGGGGATTAGAACACCTGAGACAGGTGACTGCGAGGCCAGCAGTGGGGCACTAGGCAAGAAGCAGCCCTATTTGTGTGTGGAACTCGGGCTTTGACATCAGGAGCATCAGGCATCCCACGTAGTAAAGGTTGAGAGTAGGAAGATTGGTTGAGGGTCTGAGTAAGAAGCAGTTGGGATCTCTGGTCTGTTTCTCTACAGCTCACAGCACACGATTCTCCTTTTCGTACTTTAGGAGAGTACTAGGGTTTTTTTTTAGTCCCGTGGTGGGAAAAGAGAGTCTCTTGGGACCCCTGCCCAGTCAGCACACGTGAAGAGTGGGCGCCGCACTGAAGGGGGCGGGTTTGCGTGCTGAGCGGGAGGGCCGTCGGTTGCCCTTCTCCCCACCCTCTGATGCGCCAGCACGGACCTCTGCTGTCTTTGGGCTTCTTGTCTCGGAATCGAAGAATTACAAGTATCATCGCTTTAGACCACACACCCTTTTCCGTTATTTTTTGCAGAGGGAGCCATCTCAGAAGCTAAATTCCTAGCATTGGTTTTATAGCTTTTTTACATTATTGCCTTCCTATTTTACTTGGCATTATTATTTAACTTGATGAATATTTTGAACATACAGAAAAGTACAGAAAATAATGATACTCATCATACCACGTCTCAGTTTTTCTTATTACTTACACTTTGCCATGTATGTCTTAGATCTGCCTTTTGAGAATTAAGTACTTTTTTTATACTCAGGCCCTCGCATCTCTCGTCGTGTTTCATTCCCTCAGAATAACCACCTTATGAAGCTGGCAAGCGTCTGTCTCAAGCATGTGCATGCTTTTCTTACATGTATTTGTATCTGCAGCTATAGAAAGTATTGTTTGTATGATTTAGACGTTTATGTAAAGAGTTATAGACTGTAGTTATCCTTTGACATATGCCTCTTTGTTTATTTTTGAGGTTTAGCTTGATAAACATAGATCTAGTTTATTTATTTTAACTTCTCTATAGTATTCCATTGCAAGAACAGATCTCTTCCCCTGTTGATGGATGTTTAGGTTCTTCCCAATTCTTAACTGTGAGTGACAGTACTGCATTTAATATTGTTAGGCCTGTCTCCTCGTGTTCATATACAGGGTGGGGCATGTACAGGTTTGGTTCACCGTTGTTCGTATAGAAAATAATATAATAATTAAATAATGATACAGAATAAACTCTGTATTTTGCTTATTCACAACTGTAGACCTACTTTTTCTCCACCCAGTACATACATACTTAGTGAGGTAAGGGGTGAAATTGCTGTTCATAGGGTTTGCATGCACACTTTCACTTATTAATATTATTAAATGTTGCCTAATTGTTTTTCTTTGGGGTTGTACCATATGAATACCTGGTGTTATCTTTTTTTAAATTTCTGCCTGATAGTTGTCAGATATTTGTGTGTGTGTGCGTGTGTGTGTGTTGGAATTGCTGCTTGTCCGAAAATATATTCAGGTAATGAATTTTAGTTGAATTGCATTGTGGTTAGGCAACATGACTTTAAAAGTCCTACATTTACCCAGATATTTTCCCCTTCTGGTGCACTTCATTCTCTTGTTTTCTTTCATTCATTCTCCTGAATTCCACCCGCAACGTCCCTTCTGCCTGAAGGACAGCTGCTGTCGGTGCTTTAATGCAGGTCCGCTGGCAATGAGTCCTTTCAGCTTCTGTGTCTGGGGAAGCTTTTATTTTGCCTTTGTTTGAAAGGGCCTTCTGAATAAGTGTAGAATTCCAGATTTACTTTACTTCAGTATTTCATTTTAATTTTTTAACTGTATCTTTTTAAAAATTATTTATTTATTGGCTGATTGGAGAGGGGGAAACATCGATTTATTGTTCCACTAATACATGCATTCATTGGTTGATTCTTTTTTTTAATCCTTGCCCGAGGATATGTTTATTGGTTTTTAGAGAGAGAGGAAGAGAGAGAGAAAAATCGATGTGAGAGAGAAATATTGATGAGTTGTTTCCCGTACGCCCCCCAATCAGGTATTGAACCTGTAACCTAGGTGTGCGCCCTGACTGGTCATTGAATTGGCACCCTTTTGGTGTACGAGACAACACTTCAACCGAGGCACCTGTCCAGGGTCATTGGTTGTTTCTTGTATGCGCCCTGAGTGGGGATCGATCCTACAACCTTGGTATATCAGGAAGATCCTCTAACCAGTTGAGCTACCGGGCTGGGTATTTCATTATTTTGGGGATATTTCTCCATTTTCTCCTGTCTTGCATGTTTCAGATGAGAAGTCTGCTGCCATTCTTATTTCTAGTACTCAGAATAGAGTATATTTCTCTGAGTTTTAATTGTCCTTATGGTTTTAAGCATTTTGATTTTGATATGCTTTGGTAGAGTTGTCCCCCCACCATGTTTCCTGTTCCTGAAGTTTTTTGGGAGTCTTGGATCTGCGTGGGTTTATAGTTTCTGTCGGGTTTGAAAATTTTCAGTCCTTAATTTTTCAAATATTTTCCTGCCCCCTCTCCCACTTTGGGATCTCCAATTACGTAACTATTAGGCTGGTTGAAGTTATTCCACAGCTCATTGATAAACAGCTCTATTCATTTATGCCTAGTTCATTTTGGATAGTTTCTATTTCTGTTGTCCAACTCACTGTGTTTTCTTACCTGCTTATGCTTTCCTGTAACTTCTAGAACATGCATGTAGTTACAGTAATTCTTTTAATGTTTTTGTTTAATGATTCTGGGTATTTGTGTTATTTCTGTATCTTTTTATTGCTGACTTTCCCCTGTTATGGATGTATTTTCCGTCTCATTTTGCATGCTCATTAATGGTTTGATTGCATGCCAGAAATTACAAATTTTACCTTGTTTAATTAATGCTGGATATTTTTGTATTCCTTTATACATTCCTGAGGTTTTTTCTGGTTTGTAGTTAAGTTACTTGGAAGAAGTTTGATTCTCTTGAGTCATGTTTTTAGGCTTCGTCAGGCGGGAGCAGAGCAGATTTCTGTCCAGGCTGATGGGCCACACGGTTTGGGGCGGCCCTCGGAGTGTTCTGCCTGGTGTGGAAGCTCAGTCTGTGTGCTTTTGGTCTGCAGAAATTTATTATGGTTTTTACTGTATGGCATATGGTCTGTTTTGCTGAATGATCACTTGCATTTAAAACAGTATGTTTTTTGTTGTAATGCATTTGTTGTAATGCGTTTTGTTTGTAATGTAGTTTGTGACATTCAAATCTTTTCCTCCTAGCTCTTTCAGTAACTGATAGGGGTATGTTAAGAATACAATTTTGATTGTCCATCTTGCATTGTTTTCTGTAATATTTGCTTCATGTATTTTGAAACTTCTTATTAGGTGCATCTGTGTGTCTAGGATTGTTATGTCTTCTGATGAATTGTTCCTTTCACCATTGTGAATTGTGTGTGGTTATCACCTGAAATGCTTTTTATTCTGGAGGGGTTTTGTTTTGTGTTGTGTTGTGTTGTAGTCATTATGCTAGTAGAAGTGCATATCCTTTAGAATTTTTTGACAGTAGATTTAAGGAAAAGAATGTTTACCACCTAAGTCATAGTACCAGTTACATAAGATATGGCAAAATGACCTCATTTGTGAACTCTTGCCTGCTTATTTTATAAGTAGGGCCTCGGAAGTCAAGTAGGGGAAGCACTGATTTACAAGGTTTGTCGGTTAGAACCCTAAAATCTGATTATCTGTTATACCTGGAAAGTGAAGTCTTCTCTTGTCTTCTCTTCGGACCTCCTCCTTCTCTTGCCTTTCCTTTTTCCTTCCCTTAAAATCCAAGTAATAAATAGTACCCCTAATTTACAAAGCCAAACAATATTGCAAGGCCAAAGAAAAACTGGTTTTTCTTTAATCATGAAGCTTTGTGGGACTCTCCCTACTTTCTACAAATCAATAGTATTCTTAACCTATGTACGTGTTCTGCTTGACAGAAATAAAGTATTCAAACTTACTATTTTGAAGATAGTTTATACACTTCCTTTGCAAATGAACTGTGTTGTTTATTAGCAGTCTTGGCTGTGCATGCTCTTTGTTATATAAAGATGTGATCTTTGCTCTCTAGGCATTAATGATCTGCAGACAGTTATAGATAATCAGTGTGAGGCGTCCCAAGAAACATGCGAAGGATCCTGGGATACCCGGTCATCATCATTGGGAAACAGCCCCTATGAGTTTGGTTTTCATGATAGTTTAACTTCTCAGGAATGTGTCTCAGGTTCAGTAAATGCTACTTCGTTATGCAAGAAAAAAAATTTCACTCATGAATCACTCATAACACCACATCTCACAGGCGCATTCATTCATTCATTCATTCATTCATTCATTCATTCATTCGGAGTGTGTTTATTAAAGCTCAGACAGTGCAACAAGGAAGTCCTTGGGAGAGAAGAAGCAACAGGAGGGAGACTAGGCAGGCCTGCTTTGGCCCTCTGGAGACATTATGGGAAAGAAGTGAGCTAAGTCATTTGAAGATAGATTTTTTGTAATTGTATTTTTTGATACCCAGACATCGTCAAGCTTATAATTATCATTTGTCTGTTACATTTTTGTTGATACCAATTTGGGTTATTTACCCCTCCCTTCACTTGATTATATTAAAATTTTTGTTTTTAAATGTTTATGACTGAAATGTTCTATAGAACTATATTAATTTGCATATCAGTGAGTAGGTTATAATCAGAAATAGTAAATTTGACGTCTGAATGTTTTGGATTTCTTTTCATTTATCATGCTTCTTACTCCTCTGCAATTGAAATTTTTATGGGGAAAGTGATGTTAGTGTCCAGAGACTGCGTTGGTTCCACCGTGATTTTGGTCTTGATGATGTGTCACTATTAGCATGATCGGGATGTATCAATCTTAGTATGATCGGGGACAGCAAGGGAGGACAGGTAGCAGATTGTCCGTTCTCACGAGTACCTTTTCAGCAGGTAAATGAGGAGTGTAATTTAAAACACCTGTTTCTTAAAATTAGTTTTAGAAGCCAAAATGGCATGCTTCTTAAAATTAGCAAACGGGACCGCTGAGTAAATGGAAGTAATAGACTGACTTAACTGGGTGCATTAAGTTGCTTCATACTGATGGTATTGCGGTGTTAAAGAAAATTTTGAACTCGTAGTTACATTTTTAAAAGAACAATTATAATTTTCTATTATAGGAATCACATGCAGCCCAACTGCAGATCCTTATGGAATTCCTCAAGGTTGCCAGAAGAAATAAGAGAGAGGTACATTATTTTGTGTATTTTACATAATGTTTTATCTACTCCTGTCGACTATTCCCATTTCCCCCTGTTTTTGTAAAGGCGTTTCAGGCTAAAAAATTTTTTTAAACATTTAAAAAACATTTGAGTTTTCATGAATTTTTCTTAAGTTTTGTTATTTTGACTTCTTTTACCTTTACAACCTGATTATTTAAAAGTCCCTTTTTGTAGATGTGCTGACAACTGTTCTATGGGATTAATGCTGCAGTGTCTGACCTCAAAGTATAAACAATGTGAAGTAGAATTATCAGATGACAGCCTACCCTTCCCCCTCAAAGAAAATTTAAGAAAATTTAGATGCCAGAACCTTTAGTAGAAGGGGTTACAGTCTTTCTAATGGTAAAAATGTGTGATGGGATAAAACATGTAAAAATACAGCTACCTATTTAGAACTTGAAAAGTGTAAGTCCTGCAGAATAGTTAGAAGGTAATTTTGATTAACAATTTATAACTAGCATGTTCTGATTTAACCTTTAAAACGTTCCTCAGTCATTTCACACTTGCACTGGGTGTGGGAAAGTCAAGGCCAAAATCCTGTGCTCTGGGCAGCACGCTCAAATGATGCTGAGAGCTATTTTACATCTAAGTTCCTGACCGTCTCAGATCTCATATGTTTTTAGTTTGACTTATCTAATTAGGGTGCTTTCTCCTCATTAAAAAATATGACCATCTATTATGTGTTCAGTCATAGAATATCTTTATTATTTTTGAAAATAAGAAGATGAGAGATGGCTTTATTTTGGTGAAGTACTTGAAGCGTGCATCACCAGAACCTAATGTTTATCTTAGTTTTATGTTTCCCCCTTTTTTGATTACTTATGGTGTATATTTTTAATTTTTTCTTAGTTCAGATAAAATTTTTCTGTATTATGTGTTTATTGCTAATTATTTTTCACATGGCTTATTGTTCTTAATTTTTGTAACAATTTTGATTTTAATATTTCTATTAACAAAAACACTATTATAAATGTAAGATTTATTTACTTATTTATTTATTATTATTTTTATTATTTTTTGGTGGGTACTTCTTGAACTTGAAACGCATGGGAATCGCCTGAGGACCCTGTTGGAGTCCAGGCTCTGGAGAGGGGCTGTGTGTGTCCAATGGCCAACACTCTTAGCCCGCTCCCGGCGATGCTGCTCTGGGCCCTCAGGCCACGCTTTGAGTAGCAAAGTTGAAAATTTTATAATGTGTGAAAATAAAATTATTAATTGAGTATATACATGCCACACGTTTTGCTCTAGGAAATCCTTTGGAGAGTGCTAATTCTTCATATTCCATACACTGCCTGCAGCCCCTCTTTTAGAACAGAACCTGAAGCTCTTTTTGCGGTGGTTGTGTCTCTTCCTGCCCCAGCCTTTAACCTCGTTGAGGGTGAGATTGAGAGCCTAGGAAATTGCTGGTCGTGAACGGTGAATGAATCTGTTAAGTCAGCAGTACACGTAAGAGGCTGTCTGGGGGTTAAATGCAATGGCTTGCTATTGTCTGTGTCCTGAGTTATGTAAGGTTTTCGTTGCCCCCTGAGGTTTTTTAGTGCTTCTCTAGGAGGTCACTTAATGCTTGCAGTAATTTGTTAGATTGGAAGTTGTTTCAGGTAATAAGGATATAGCGTATGAGGGATTTTTGTCCTACTAGTGGGCTGACAAGTTACCCTGCCTCAGTGTATAGACGCCGGCAGAAGGCACGTGACTCCTGGGTTGGAGATAAAGGACTTACTGCGTCACTTCCGGCAGTGTCAGCCTCATGATTGCATCAGTTCCCTGTGACCCACCCCCACGTGCTGCGGGGGCAGCGCAGGGATGGGCCCAGGTTGTCTCTGCACGTGCAATGGGTCTATGTTACAGCTAGGGCACCCTGAGCTTAGGAGGCCCCAGTCTTTTCAAGGGCCTGCTAACAAACCTGTCCAGTCTGTGCCCTGCAGGGACACACCGTCCTTACTAAGTTGATCCAAAAACAGATCTGCCCTCTTTCCTGGAGGAAGGCACTGTTTCTCTCTTGCCAGGGCATTCTCTATACATCCTTGAAAAGATGACTTGGAACAAAAGCTATCACAAGATAAGCAGAAATAGGAGAACTCGATGGAGAATTGTTTCTTAATAACTCTTCCTTGTGATCCTAATTTGTCCTCTCTGATTTGGTGGCTGGTGGCCTCCAGTTATGCCTTCTGTGGTACTGCCTTTGATCCCTACCTCTTAATATCAGTGTTTCTGTATATTTGTTATTAAATGTCTGGGTTGATTGTGTTGTAGTATTTTTCAGCTTACTGAAAGTTGGGAGTAATGTGATCTTGTGAAGGATCCGTTATGTTTCCCCTTTGTCTGTGTTTTACCACGGTCAGCAGCCTAACCACGAATCGTGTGGCTGCAGCTGCTGGCTGCTGGCACGCTGCGTGCGGGTGCCCCTTCTGTGCCTGACTGCACCGTGCCTGCTGGCTTTCTTGGGCTCAGTGTGTCCGCCGTTCAGTGACTTCCGGTAGCTCAGGTCTAATCACACAGGGACGTGGAGGAGCTAGGGTAACAAGGTTTCAGACACTTGAAAATTTGGAACTAGGTTAACAGACTTTAAGAATTTTACCTGTTACTTTGATTACATTTCATACATTTCTTCATGATTGGAGTTGGGTATAGTAGTGATTTGTAATCATAGTAAACTTTAGCCTAGAAAATAGAGTTAATACCTTGAGATTTAGTGCAGACAGAATGAAGTGAGTGGTTATGTTCTTTTGCACATATTAAAAGTATATTTGTAGGTTTAATCCTCAAAATGAATATAATTGTTAAAGGTCTTGTCTCCTGTAGTATAGTTCATACTTGAACATATTTAAGCAAAATGCAGTATGACCAGGAGGCAAACTACTGCTTTTTAATCTGTATGCCTAAGGTTAGCATTCAGACTTTGGAAATTAACTTTGTGATTTCATACCTAACTTTTAATTGGTATTATGATGGGTCTTGGTTTAGACATCAATATATACCAAAAAGAAGTTAAATCTGCTTTTCAGCTTTTTTTCAAACATTTTTAAATTTAATCTTTATTGTATTTTTTTCATTACTGTTTAGTCCCCTACATCCATCCCCTGCAGCCACCATACTGCCGTCCATGTCCGTGAGCCCTTCTTCCCTTTTGCTCAACCCCTCTACCCTCACCTCCCCCCCTCCCCCCCACTGGCTGTCATCTGGTCTCCACCCATGAGCCTGTCTCCATTTTCCTTGTTCAGTTTGTTCACTAGATTCCGCATGTAAGTGAGATCCATATGGCATTTGTCTTTCTCTGACTGGCCTATTTCACTGAGCATAGTATTCTGCAGGTCCATCCATCCATACTGTCACAAAGAGTAAAATTTTCTTTTTCTTTTTTTTTTTTTTTACAGCTGAGTAGTATTCCATTGTGTAAATGCCCCATGGTTGTTTTATCCGCTCGTCTGCTGAAGGACACTTGGCTGCTCCCATATCTTGGCAGCTGTAAACAACGCAGCAGCGAACATAGGGGCACTTGTGGGCTTTCAGATTGGTGCTTTGGGTTCCTTCACTTGTCAGATTTAACACACTCATTTACTCCAGTGTTACACTTCACTAGTGTTTTAGGACTGCTAGAACCCTATGTTTAATTTTTATTTTTGACTTATTTTACCCTGCCAACTCTTTTGAATATTAAGAGACAAGAATTGGCACGTATAACGACCGAAACCATCAAACATTTACCATCTTGGGTGAGGCACACTGGGGCCGTGTATCTGGGTGCCGTGGCTCAGGGTTTCTTGCTAAGCTGCAGTCAAGGTGTTGGCCCGGGCAGCAATTTCAAGGTCTCTCTGGAATGGGAACCAGTGTAAGCTCACTCACTCACTGGCTCTGGGAAAGAAGGGCCAGCTTCTTGCCACGGGGGCTTCTCCGTGGGACAGCGTACTGCACTGCATGCAGCTGGCTGCCCTCAGGAAGCATGGGAGAAAGCCAGAGCGGCTTTGAAAACAGCAGCCACAGCCCGTTTGTGGCTGCATCTGAGAAAGAAGTGACGTCCCGACACGTGCTGTTCGTTGGAAGCGGACCCCGAGACCCAGCCCACACAAGGGCGTGAACTCCGAGAGGCGGGGCCTGCCCACCGCAGCGTGTAATCGGTGCCCGTGTGTAACTGACCGGCCGCTCCTCCTCGTGTTCAGATTGAGCGGACGGGCTTTGGGCTCTGTGTAAGGGCCACTTTCATCTGTGCAAAGTAGTGCTAGCATTTGAACAGTTGCCTTATGTGTTTAATTTGATTTCATTTTAAAGTGTACTTCTGGACATTTGTAGTACTTGTTTCATTTACTGTAATAGGACTGTTTTGACGAGTTGTGGTTTCCTTTTGGTTTTGTTTGGAATGTTAACGAACTCAAGTTTTGAATGTTTTTATGTGGAATAAAGCAGAGAAACGTTTACTCAGCAAACACACAGTTTAAAGAATCCCCGTAGAGGGACCGTCCATGGGCCATCGTCCTGATTAAGTGGCTGATTGTTGCTAGGAGCCCTGAAGCGTCCTCCCCTCTCCAGAGGGTATCCTTCTTTTTTGCCTGTTAGGTAGTTAATATTCTGATATTTATGGTAGTCACCTCCTGTTTCTCTTTATTGTTTTGATGCCTAAATATTTATGTCTCTCTCTCCCTCTCCCCCTCCTCCCCTCTTTCTCTCTCTTTCGAACTTAAATAAATGCAACTCTATAATAATATTTTGTTCTTGTCTTCTCTGGCTCAATGTTAAGATTCATCCATATTATTGTATGTGGTTGTAGTTGATCTGTTTTTGTTGTTGTGCGAAATGATTATACCCCATTTTGTTGCTGGTGGACTGTTAAGTTGTTTCCAGTTTGGAGCCATTCACACAACGCCACTACTCTCTTACATGCGTATCCTGGCTACATTAGCATGTGTATCTGTACGTAGAAGTGGAATTGATGAGTCATAGGATATGTACAAACTTCTTCTAACCACTTGTAT